TAAAAATAAATCAAAAAATAATGATGATGAAAACACAATCACTTGAAACATTAGAATTTAGGATTCATCCTATAGATTGCTAGTTTTTATCCTTTGAGTTGACTCTAATTAATTATACTGACAACTATTTTTAAAATGTCCTAGTATTCTCCCGAATTATTAGTCCCTTTTTAATTAGCATTGAATTCGTTCTTATGATACCCAAGCAACTAATTAAACCACGAAGCTATAGTTTAAATTACCATAAATTTCTAAAACTATTCCTAGCCTAATTATTTATATATATATTTTTTAGATCTAGATTCTCTCTTCACCTCCCAGTCCATCAAGATTATCGATAAATTTGATTAAATGGCAGCCAGTCATTAAATAAATATAAACAATAAGAGAAATAAATATAATTAAAAAAGAAAAATATTCATAAATATAAATGCAAAGAGTCAAAACAAAAAAAAATAAAAAAATAACTCTCCAATTGGGCTATATTCCTACCCCAATTGAGTAATTTAGAAATACATAATAAAATCAAATAACACCGTTCTAAAATCTTCAATCATGAAAAGTGATCACAGAAAAATTGAAGAGTAGAAAAGAAATAATTATGATTTGTAGAACTCCTTAATAATCTTATTTTCAACCTTCAAAATGCTTCTATGGGCTCTAAATATCTCATAAAGAATTCTTGAGATACTCAGATAAGTAATTGGATGACTTTCTTTTTGATAAAGGGGAGTATTTATAGTTAAAGTGACAGCTCCTCTTTTTGTTCCTTGGTGATATGAGACTCTAATATATATATATATATATATATAAAATATTTTATCTTTTACTATGCCTTTTTCCTTCTTTTGAAAATCTTGCCCTGTAAGTCATCTTCTCAGAATATTTAGTCTCCATGTGTATGTTTATGTTCTTGTGACAATAGCTTCCCATGTTTCCTTCCTTTATATTTTATATATATATATATATATATATATGTTTCTTTTTTTCTTTTTTTTCTTCTATCTAGTTTATTTCTTTTCTCTACAAAATATAAAAATAAAAATATATGAGTACTTTTTGTACTAAAATTCCTTTCTATCTTATAATTAGGTGATGAGAGAAAAATATATAAATATTAATTAAATAGATATGAAATCTTAATAAATATAATCAAATTCAAACCAAAATTTGTACCTATTTAATTGTAAAATATGCATTTATCAGTTATATCAATCAAATAATTTACAACTACTTCATCAGTGATTTACGATTAACACTTCAAGTTTTTCCAATTGTAACTTCAAATATCTAATAATTAAATTGATCATGTGTTACGAGCTTAATACTAATTAATTGTTTATAACTATCTCATTAGTAATTTACAATTTTCGCTTTAATATTTTACAACAATAACTTTTCATATTTAATAGTTAAAATGATCATGTATTATTAACAAAATTTAACATATATTTACAATTACCTCTTCAGTAATTTACAATTACCATTTAAAAATTTTACGACTCTGACTTTACATATTTAATAGTTAAATTGATCATGGGCTACTAAGAAAGTTAAATACTAATTGTACACAACTATTTTATTGATAATTTACAACTTTTACTTCAATTTTCTAAAATTATAACTTCATATATTCAATAGTTAAACTGATTATGCATTATAAGTTTAACACTAATTTTATACAACTATCACATAAGTAATTTAAAATTATCCATTCAATATTTTACAAATGTAACTTCAAATATCTACATATCTAATAGTTAAATTGATCATATATTTCTAACAAGTTTAACATGAAGTGTTTACAACTATCTTATCAACAATTTACAACTATTATTGCAACATTTTACAACTGAAACTTCACATATTCTATAGTTAAACTGATCATATATTTTCAATAATTATAGAATCACGCAAATCAACTTTGTTTTCTGTAGCCTTTTCCCCATAATTGAACTCAGTCACTCTTGTTCTTTTTTTTTTTTAATAAAAGAAATTTGCATCTAGCCTAGAAAAAATTCGAACCTTTTTGCAAACTGTCAAATCTCATTTCCATTATCTTGTACATAGCAATCAAAAAGCAATCCGAAAATTGAATAATGAAAACTAAAACTTAAATTAATAAAAACTAAGATTGAATAATGAAATCTTACTAGTTGATTTAGATATGGTTTTTATCGTGCAAAGCAAGTATAAGAATAAGGACAATTAGATTTGTGATGATGAAGGAGTTGGTTGTTTAAACAAGGTAGAGAGTGTCAATCACAAACAATTCTATCGGCTTCAATTGGTGAGGAAAGACAAGGCAAAGAGAGCATCCTGCGATGAAAAACGTGGCAAATTGATCATGAATGTGAATGAAGCGATCATGAAAGAATAGAGCATGAACAAGTTATAATTGAAGGAGAGAGGCATCTTCGTCGTTGTAACCTACTCCCTCCATCTCTATATATAAGATATTTTTAATCGAACCCACATACCAATTAAAGTTTGTTATTTAATTGAACTGACATAAAAACATAATAATTTTTTAGTTTTACCCCTAATAATATCATAATTAATATCATGATGGTGGTAGGAAAGATATACAATTAATAATCTATTCCATTTTTCAATACAAGGATAAAATAAGGTTTTAGAAAATATTTTATATACAAGGACGGAGGGAGTAATAATTAGTAAGCACAATATTGTCTTTACACTCCAGTTTCAAATTACACTCATGTTTCAAGGGACTTAGCTATAGTTTTTAAATTTTGCAAAAGTTATTTATAAATAAGTTTACTTCACGAGACCTATGTGTAATTTTTCCCATATAATATAATCAATTATATTTAAAAATCAATCATATTAATCAATTTTTTCATAATCTCTTTTTTATGGATATCCAAACAAGCCCAAACCATTAAAAATAAAAAACATTTTTTTGAGGTTAAATTTTAAAAATATAAGATATTTTTAGCTTTTAATGTGTACTTAATGAATTTTTTTTAAAAGACCCTTAATGAATAAACCAATAATCCCCTTTTTTGTGTAAAACCAATAAACCATTTACTTTTAAGCGAGACACATTATAAATAAAGGCAAACATAAAATAAAATTAATATAAAGACAATTAACTAATTATATTATTGGGTGTGGTTTAATTAAAATGTCTTATATTTTTAAAAAATGGAGGGAATATAGTGGGAACATATACATACATACATGCATATATATATATATATATATATAGAGAGAGAGAGAGAGAGAGAGAGAGGGCGTAATGACAAGTTTTAACCGATAGGTCTTTTAATCCCACGTTTAGCCACCCAAATCGACATTTAACCGATAGGTCTTTTAATCCCACCGTTTAACCACCCAAATCTGTCGCTTTGGGTGTGCCGGCTAGGGAGAAGCTAATTTCGGAATGTTTCCGCGGTTCTGCAGAATGAATCGTCGTTTATCGCCACGTGACCATTCAAATAATAGTATTGATGATTTAACCGTTGCTTTTATTGATTTAAGTCTGGTTTAGTATCCAGACGCGGTGGTTCATTAGATTCTTTAACTATTTCAATTTGCCCTTTACGTATTAATTTACGTTTAAAGTGACATATTTTTCGGATCTATAGTACGCACGCAGCTTCTAATGGAACGCGCAAGGCACACTACCGTGTGAATGGAAAGATATAATAATGCTTAGAGTAAATTACCATTCAGGTCCCTGAAAGATGCGTGTTCTAACATTTTTGTATTACTATTTAACTTCTATTTGTTAAAGAAAAATACAATAAAATAGGACATCACATCTTTGCCGGCTGTCAATTAATTCGGTTAATTGACTCTTTGATCATATTGACGGGGGCTTTAATAATTTGTGGATGTAAATAACAAGTATTATCTTAAAGAATAAATTAAAATATGGACATGCATATATCTTTTTGGGATAGTTTTCTCCGGTTTGAATGAGTAATGCAAAATTGTTTGAAGTGCACTACGAAATGAGCCCTATCATTTCTAGCTGATTTGACTAGCTAGCTACTCAATCTTAAGAAATTATCTACATCGTCATTAATTTGAGTGGAAGTGTGCTGGCACTTGAATCTGCAAGAGCCGAAGATCACCACCTAAAGAGGAAGTCAATTAACGAGGTGTGTAAACTAAGCATAATTGCTCTTTTGAATATGAAAAGACTAATTTTTTCCTTTCTTTTTTTTTTCTTTCTTTCTTTTTTTTTTTTTTTTTCGATTTTTGGGTCATTGTTCTATTTGATGCACATGATCGTACGTCAGTTTCCAGGAACTGAGCGTTTTCACCTTTTGTGTTGATTAATCCGCTAGAAAAGAACAATGATGTAATGAACTTATTTCTCTAATACCAGAATTTAGAAGGAAGTATCAGATCGACATTGCAATAACTGTACTCGATCTCTATGGAGCTAATCAGGGTCAGGATGTAACAAAAAATTGACCTATTTTAGTTTTCATATAACAAAAAAATGCCATGCTTTTCATTTTGATCTGGGGATATTGTCGTGAATGATATGCTGCAAGATGCTTATATTCTACAGTGACCCTAAATTTAAAATAAAAAGATAAATACATAATTAATAATTTTTTTAAAAATAATATTTTATTTAAATTAATTCTATAATAAGTGGAGAGAGATAACTTAATAAAACTTATGTTAATGACTTCCTTAAAATTTTAGAGTTTGAATTTTATTTTATTTTAAATTATAGAAAAATCTTGTGTCTTTTCTTATAATTTTCATTATGCCCTGTTTTGTAATTTTTTCAATTATTTATTAGTGTCAGATTTTTCTTCCTGCACCGCCATTCGAAAGTTGGAGGAAAGTAATGAAAGGTTGAGAAATTATACATGTGTCCTTGTTCTTATGGTGACTCATCAAAAATATTGTAATTTAACTTTTCTCGGTCAGCATCAGAGAGAGACAGGGAGTCCTTTGATTTTCGTTCCTTCTCCATCTTCTTCCGTCTTTCGGCGTCATCAGGTGAGAGTGTGCCAGAGCTTCATCCGTCACTGCTTGTCAGATCATCAACGTCCTTCTCCTTCCTCTGTGCGAGTGATGATGTGAATGTTCAGGTCTCTCTTCCCTTTCATTTTCCTTACCGTTTGTCGCTGCTGAAGACCATGGAAGCTCTGTCGAAGCTCTTCCTCTGTTAGCATTTAAGACGCTTCTTCCTTCTCGCCGTCCGCTGCCGGTGACTGGAGAAAAACACTGAAACCCCTTCCTTTGACAGTGCTGCGCCGCGCGTTTTCATTGGGCTTCTTCCTCCCCTGTTTTTCTTTGTTGTGAACTCCTCTCCTCTCCTTCCTCTGTTCGAGCTGCTGTGACAGGTTGAGCTCCAGGTTTTTCCTCGTCTCCTTCCAATTCTGATGCGTCATCTCTCTTTTCTATTGTGTTTTAGCATGGATTCAAACATTCCTCTCCTTTTCGCTGCTCTGTCCTGTTGTTTCTATTGAGGTGAGGAACCACGATTTCCTATTTTCGTTGAAAAATCTGTGCGTGTAAGTGTAAGATGTGATAGAATTGAAGTTGCCAATTTTCTCTTGAATTTCGGCTGCTGCTGTTCGTGACTGTTGAGAAGAGAGAGAGAGAGAGAGAGAAGAGTTTAAGCTGAAACTTATGTGCTGAGAGCAAGATTATGATGAATATAGGTTAGAATTTTTGAGTTAAATTAGTTTGTTTGGATTGATTGATATTGAAGAATTAGTTAAAGATGAGATTTGGATAAAAGAACTTAGGCTTGAAGCTTGTAGAATGTTGCCCATAAGATGCTTGATAAAATGCTAGCGAGATGGATTTGCTTGATTGTGTATTTTATAAAATTTCATTGAATTCCTTAAAAGACCTAAGTGGGTTGGATGCTATTGACTTGTGAATTGAGTTTGGTATTTTATAGAAATTTGCTCACAAATATAATGTAGATATGATTGTTAAGAAATTGTCAGACAAAACATTTGAATGTTGAAAACCCTTATGGAGGGATTTGGAATTTGTGTGCATTTGGTGTTTTAATAAAAAGTTATAAATATGGAAGACACTTATTTTCTACAATGAAAGATTTGAAATTAGAGATTTTAGGAAAAGAGGCTTTGTTGATAATTCAAGACCAAATTATATATATATATATATATATATGTATGTATGTATGTATGTATGTATGTATGTATATATTCATCTTTGGAATATTGTGAAGTGTTTGGTGTGATGTCTGAGAAAGTTTGAAGTTGAAGGTTTTATCTTTTCTTTTTAAGAATGATGAGGCATGTATAAGAAAATGATAATGATATTAATTGGATATTAGGAGCTTAGAGATCAAGCATTGACGCAAGAGTGCCAAGTAGAAGTAAGTTTTACGTTTGAGAACTTGCCAGGTAAGTGAATAGCGTCCCAACTGATTTTTTTCATCAAAATTTCCTTTCCTAAAATATTCCGTTTTTCTGAAAATCATTTTAATAGCATTAATGCGATTATTGGACATTTGTTGATTAACATTACTTTATTTTGATAAATTAGCTTTACCAAATTTAAAATGTTATTTGATCAATTAAATCAAGTTTGAACTTTGATTATGAGATTTTTATTTTATTAAATATTGAATTGATACAGAGAATGATTCATATGAGTTCGATGTTGAAAATTTTTTTTATTCAATAAATGCAAGCGTGAGCATTGGATATGAAATTTTATTCTGAGAAGTTTTAATACTTAAAAGTATTCATGCGAGTTTGATTTTAAGAATAAAAATTGTATCTTGAAAGTGATGATTTTCTCGCATATTTGAAATTGATTTTAAAAAGGGACTTTATACATAACACTGGTTGCTAACGGCAGTTCCGTTAGCCCTTAGTGCGTCATAGTACACCTAGCTAGCAGGGTGTTTATAGGAGGTACTAGCCTCGTGCGATTTCCAACGCACGTGGAACGGAGAGATGGTTATTCGTGAGCATCGTACTCACGTTTGTTTCGTGGTTTCGGCCGCGTTTGGTTACTTACCTTCGTGGACTGTGTGTCCACGTTTGTTTTGTGGCTTTGACTGCGTTTGGTTACTGACCCTCGTGGACTATGTGTCCACGTTTGTCTTCGTGGCAAGAGCCGCGTTTGGTTATTTGCCCTCATGGACTGTGTCCACGTTTGTTACTTGTTCTGATAAGTCCCCGCAATATGAATTTGATGATTTTACATCCCATTGACTTTAAGTAGTAAATTATGTATAATTATTTATTCGCTTCTTTGCAATCAAGTGATGATAATATTTCATATGATATTTTAATAGCTAAAGATTTTATTTAAAACTTTATAGAATCCTTTTACTTTCAAAGTTTATTAAATTTTTATGAAGATTGTTGCGTCTTTAAATTGCATGATTGTTTCAAACTTTTCTTTTATTTATGTTCAATTATTTGTTGTTGGGATGTTATTTACTGGAAAAATATATTTGGGTCTTATATGGTATAGCGGAACTTGTGACTCGAGGCATTCACTGAGGAGTTTTATTGCTGAATGAAAGAAAAGAAAAATTATTTTAGTTAAATCCTAGTTTGACAAAAATTTGAACTTTATACTTACGTTGGAACCTGACCTTAGGTGCTCCACATAAACTACAGGTAGGATCCTCACATTTGTTTTAAAATTTAATATCTGATTTAATAATGTAATCATTTTTAATTACCCTATTAGTGTGTTTAATGTATTAATTTCAGAGTTTCTCTGGCGACAACTTAAGGAATATGAGTTTTATACCCATATCCCATTCTAGTCCCACCTAGTTTTTTTTTTTGGGGTGTGACATATTCCGCATCATGAACCTTCAAATTAATCAATTGGTGATTATGAATATCTCCTTTCAGGTTGCTATTAATATTAATGGCAGAGGTTGGAGTGTCAGTAGCATCAAAACTTGCTGAATATTTGGTGCATCCAACTTCACAACAGTTGCAATATTTGTTTTGTGTCGGCAAAATCACCAAAAATGTTGAGATTAGAAAGGAGGAGCTCATACTCAAGCAAGGGAGGGTCCAAGAACTTGTTCAAGAGGCCATCAATAGGACCGAGAGGATTGATGATGAGGTTAACAAGTGGAAGAATGACATGAAAAGTCTCATAACAGAGCTGGAGAATTTGGAGGAAGAAGTAAAGGCCAACAATAGCTTCCTTCGAAGGTGGTGTCCCACTTGGAGGAGATATTGTCTCTACAAAAAGTTGGCTAAGACAACCCGGAGGATGATAGAGCTAAATACAAAGAGTGATCATTTTGATTCATTTTCTCATCCTATTACTATTCCAGATATAGAATATCACTCTTCTCAAAACTTTAAGTTCTTCAACTCTACACAAAGGGCTTTTGATCAATTGTGGGAGGCACTGAAAGATGATGGCAACTCCATAATTGGGCTATGGGGCATGGGAGGTTCAGGGAAAACTACCTTGGTGACAGAAGTAGGAAAGAAAGCCAAAGAATCAAAGCTCTTTGATCGAGTTGTTAAAACTACAATTTCTCAAAACCTTGATATAAGAAAAGTTCAAGGTGAAATTGTTGACATGTTAGGACTTAAATTAGAGGAAGAATCTGAAATTGGAAGGGCAAGAAGAATAGCACTAAGATTACAAAATGAAGAACGGATTTTGATAATATTGGATGATGTATGGGCTAAGTTGAATCTCGAGGACATAGGGATTCCCTTTGGGGGAAATCATCAAAGAAGATGCAAAATTGTCCTAACCACACGCTGCCTAGATGTATGCACTTTGATGGATTGCCAAAAGCATATCCATCTTCATTTGTTAAATGAAAATGAAGCTTGGACTTTGTTTCAAACTCATGCTAATGCTAATGATGCTACTAAAGAGGTTGTGGCCCGAGAAATTGTTAAGGAATGTAAGGGACTAGCCATTGCAATTGTAGCTTTGGGAACTTGCTTGAAAGGAAAAGGAGTTGATGAGATGAAAGTAGTATTGTACAAATTGAGGAATGCCAAACCAAACAATGTGGATAAAGGAGTGAGGGATGCTTTTGCTTGTCTTGAATTAAGCTATGCTTATTTGGGAACAACGGAAGCTAAGCTATTGTTGTTAATGTGTGCTATGTTTCCTGAAGATCATAAAATTGTCATTGAAGATCTTTTCAGATATGGAGTGGGGTTAGGCCTATGTAGAGATGTAGACTCATTTGAAATAGCAAGGAGCCATGTTAGAGCAGCTATAAATAATCTTATTGAGTCCTCATTGTTGATGCATTTGTCAAAGATCAATGTGATCAAAAAAGATTACGTGACAATGCATGACATGGTTCGCGATGTAGTTTTGTGGATTGCATCTAAAGAGGATCATACCATTATGGTAAATTGCAAAAAAGAATTGAATGAATTGGTTGATGATGAAGGAGTAAAAGATTGCTATGCAATAGCTTCAAGGTATAACATCAATGAATTACCTCAATTTGCTTCTCGATTGGATGCTCCTAAGCTCAAGATTCTTTTGTTAGATTCAACAAAAGCCTTCAATTTACCGTGTCAAAGAATAAAAGGCTCTAATTTATTAGATGCATCATTTGAAGGTATAAAAGGACTCAAGGTTTTAGCTATAATTAATAAATATGGATTTATCTCTTTGATGGAAAAGCCTCGATCAATGCAAAAATTGTCTAATCTTCAAACTTTAAGGTTGCAGAACTGGGATTTAGGAGACATCTCTTTTGTGGTAAGCCTTAGAAGACTTGAAATTCTTGACTTGCGGGGTAGTAAATTTGAAAAAGTGCCAAATGGAATTGAAAAATTAAACAAGCTGAAGTTGTTAGATTTGTCAAGATGTACAATATATGAGTGTTGTTATGAAGCAATTGAGAAGTGTTCACAACTTGAAGAGTTGTATGTTTATCCACACTTTCACCATCCAAGAAACACAAATTGCTATGAATACCTTCTACGTACATCTGCTATGAAAAAATTGAGAAGGTACGAGCTACAAATAGGGGATTGTGGTGAAGACATTGAATTTTGGAATGAAGGCACAAGATCTTTATGCTTGGTTCAGTTAAATATCTCTATGGCAGGTGCAATAATCAAAGATCTTACACAAAGAGCTACTGCAATTCAATTTTATGAGCTTCAAGGAGGCTGCAAAAGTTTCATTCCTAATATGATTCAAGCTATGAGAGGCATGAATGAGTTAACTAAACTCTATCTTCAACATTGTTCAGAGATAGAATGCTTTATGGATGAAACTATTGTTCATGAAGATGTGATTGTCCCAAGATTGAATGAGTTGGAGCTTATAGATATGGATAATCTAAAGCAAATATGTCCTGGCCCTTCTCCTCTTAGCTTGTTCCAAAAGCTAGAAAGACTAAGTATATCTGATTGCCCTCAATTGCTCCACATGTTCCCTGATGACTGCAGCTTAGGCAATCTTAAATTTCTCGAAATTTCTGGATGTCCTTTGTTGACATCACTCTTCCCTGTCTCTATTGTTTGCACTCTTTTGAAATTGCAGAGGCTATTCATAAGTGATGCTCCTCATATGAAATTTGTATTTGGTGAAAACAGTGAGGAACAACCTGATCATGATCGAATTGAGACTCAAATAATGCTTCCTCTTTTAGAATATATCAATCTAGAAAATCTTCCAAATCTTGCCGGAATGGCTCTGAAAAGTATCATCCAAGGTGCCCATCTATAAAGGAAATAGTATCGAAGGATTGTCCAAATATGGTATGTATTTGTTTTCCGATGCTTTAATTTGATTGATAATGAATGTTTAAAAAACTAAAGTTGTTTTAAATATCTTTGTTCATATAATTAAATTTTTTAGCACGTGTGAAATAGCAAGTAGTGTTTATGTGAATACATATTGAAAATGAGAACATGCTGTTTGTTATTTAAAATGAGAACTGAAATAAGAAAATGACACATAAATTTGCATTATATTCTTTAAAAACATGCTATTCTCGTGTCAAGAAAATTTATGATGTCCTATGCCGTTGTTTTTAAATCCCAGTGTGATCTTGGTTTTGAAGGTACCATATGGTATGCAAATAAAGATTCAGTCACCAATGTCAATCGAAGATATACAATTCTATTTTCGTCATTTCTTAAAATAAACCCTAGGGAATGGCACATATGACTGCCCGAGGCACTATGAGCATACCAGACATCAAAGACTATGCTTATCTTTGTTTTTTTAATAATTATGTTAATAACACTTGTATCATATTTATTAATTTTTAGAAAGACTACACAAAATGATATAAAGGAGTCAAAATTTATTGTGAAAAAATCTAAATTATAAATAAAATAAGTGATTAAATCACAGTGAATTTACTTTGATATCTCACTACTAAAATCCCTAACATGGTTTTTTTTTTCCTTAAAAAACTTTAATATTGTCCAAATATGAAACAAATTTGCTTTCCAATGCTTTAATTTGATTTAAAAATATGTCTAAGAATACCAAAGTTCTTTTTTTAGAAAAATATATTTGCTCACGTAATTAAATTTTCTTTTGCACGTGAGAACTAGCAACTAAGTTCAATTATTTATCCTTTTTTTATGGCCCACAATAAATATTCACTCTTATAGGCCCCTCATCATAATGTTTTCCCAAACTTCATTGTGAACTCCATTTTCTTATATATATATATATATGGATATGGCTGTTTCTTAAGAATAATACATGTACATAAAGATTTTAAATAAACCTGATTTATAGTTTTTTCTTTGGAAATATGTTAATGGTTTTCATTTCTTCTATTTCTTCCTCTTTCACGGAGCAATTGCAGGAAGCTAAGGGGTATCAATTAAGGAATGATCTTCATATCTATGGAGTAGAATCCATTTTCCACTATCAAACTGGGGTTGAAGAACAAATGCCAACATTTCAATACCTTGAACATTTAAATTTGACAAAATGTTCAAGATTGAAATTTATCTTCTCTACCCATATCTGTCAAAGTCTTCCAAAGTTAACTTATCTATCCATATCTGATTGTGAGGAGTTGGAGGCAATCTTTTCAAGGAATGAAGGAATTGAGAAGAATCTATCCATAACTAAAGCCTGTCTGCTGAAATTGGAAGATCTGGAAATCTCTAATTGCAACAAGCTGAAATTCGTTTTGTCTTTCATGATCAATGATGCTAACCCAATTCTTCCACAACTACGCACTCTGACCATATTAGATTCTTCTCAGCTAGAAGAAATTTTCAAGTGCTCTAATATCGAAGATAATGACATTGACCTTGAAAGGCAGATTAAGTTCCCAAACTTGAAATATGTAAGACTTAAGAAGCTTCCAAGACTTGTTGATGTTTGCCACCTGTTTAAGTTGCACGTCGTGGAGTTTTGTAGACTTAAGGTTGATGAATGCCCAAAACTTATGCCAACTAGGAGTGCAACTATTGGTTGGAGAGAAAAGGTTAGTAATGTTCTGCAGTGGTTCTCAATGCTTCTTTTTCCATGCTGCAAATCTTGCTTATATTTTATTTTACAATATTAATTCAATTGACACATTCAAAAAAAAAATATAATATTAATTCAATCGATGCTAGGTGAATATTCAAAACAAAATTCATATTCAAACTAGTTAATTAATAAAATATCTTATATTCCTGCATACAAATTTAAGAAACCAAATTAATGAATTGCATTTTATATTCTCCTCATCACTCTGATAATAATAGACGGAAAGCATTTGGTAGAACAAAGTAGGTACATATGTTAATAAATGATTACAATCGTAAGTAGTCTCATCCAGTGTGTGAAGATATTGGTTATTAACTTGATCTCATTTTCTTTTCCTTATCCTTCCAAGGAACTAAGAATAATTTCCACCTCATTTCACCTTTATGTTGTATACAGAGACTTGAAAGGGAGTATGTATTGAAATGTAGCCAACTAAATAATAACGAAGCTCTCACTCTTCCATTCTCTCTTCTAAATGCTGGAGAGCTTGCCATTCAAGGTTCTGTTATTGTAGACACGTTTCAAATCATGGGTAATGATGACCAAGAAGAAATCGAGGACTCAAAATTTTTGAGATCAGAACAGCAAATGCTAGAAGGTCTTGTTCCCACACAAGTTTTGTGCTTCCAATATCTCCATTCCTTGAAAATGGTTAGATGCAAAAAGTTGAAGTTTTTATTCTCAATAAGCACTATTGTCCATAATAACTTTCTCAAATTGAGTTCCCTAACCTTATCTGATTGTGAGGAACTGGAAGTGATTTTTGGACATGGTAGTCAAGATGATGTCAACTATGATGAGAAGATTGTGCTTTCAAGCTTGAGGAAGATAGAACTTGAAAATTTGCCAAATTTCATTCGTGTTTGTCAAGGGATGCAGATTCAAGTGCAGATGAGTGACATTAGCATAAGGAACTGCCCCAAATTTCTTGATTCTAGTTTGGGATATGCTATTCAACAATTGGAAACGGCATCGGTAAAAATGAATATTCCGTATCATGTTGATTAGAGTCTTTCAAAATGAGATAAATTAATATGTGGATTCTTAACAAAATCATCTTGGCTTTAACTGTATAACTTAAATAGGGAACTTGTAAGTAATTACAAAGAGATAAAAGGACATGAAAGAACAAAAACAATTTATACTTGAAGTACACAATTATATGTTTTTTCTTTTAATTTTGGAGCACAATTGATGAAAATATGGAATATATCTGGGACTTCGTTTCAAGTTTCTTTAAACATTTTTTAAAGATATTCTTATATTACATTTTCATGTACAATCATATCAAAAAAAAAATTGACAAGGAAAAAATAATTGTGTGCATATTCATTCATAAAATATGTTGATAAAAAGTTATTTTACGTTTGCCCTATAATCATACATTGATAAAAACACATTTGAATATATGTACAAATTTACTCGGCATATGCATGAATTTCTATTTAAATATATTTAGTTTCTTTCATCTTTTTAAACTCAAGTATAAATAAAAACTTTTATCATTAAATTTGATTGGTGTGAATAAATTTTTTTATTTTTGTTAATTGAAGCTGCAGTTCCCTCAAGCTTCTACAGAAAATTCAAATTTCCATGCTACAACAAGTGTAGAAAAACAATTATATGTAAATGAAGAAAAAGAGATGATCTTGATCTCAAGAGTAGAGGTGCTGTCTCTGAAGGATTCGAGGAACTTCATGTGTGTATGGGAGGGTCCTAGTTTCCTTAGCTTCCAAAATCTTTGGCATCTAAAGGTGAATGGATGTAGTAAATTGAAATGTATCTTCCCAAGCACCGTCATCAAAAGCCTACCATGTTTGTGGTATCTACATATTGAAGAATGTGAAGAGTTGGAGGAAATAATGTCATCAGAGCCTCACTTTCCAAATGCATCCTCGTCTTCCTTCTGCTTCCCAAAACTTCATAGTCTTCAAGTCTTAAAATGCAGGAAGTTGAAATGGCTCTTCCCCTCTCTGCCCTCTACTCAACATCTTCCGCTGTTGGAAAAATTGAGAAAATTGAGAATAGAACATTGCTATCAGCTAGAGGGACTTTTCAAGTGTGAAGTTGAAATCCAAGAGAAAGGGTTCTACAACCTACTTCCAAAGCTGCAATTTATTAATGTTGAGGATTGCCCCATGTTCTCGCAAACCGCACTCGCTACTCTTCAAAGCTTCATACACAGGTATGAATATTTTTACTATCCACACTTGCCCATATTTGACAGCATAGGAACTTTTTTTCTTGGTAGTTTCTACTTTCTTCTCTTGTGTGATTTCCTTCTATATTAAGCAACCTTGAAATTTTGGCATTGCATAGCTTACAAAAAATTTTGTTTATTTTTGAATTTATTTATACACAATCTCCTCCATCATTCATCCATTTTCTTTTCGAAAAAATGTAGTTGATATGTAAGTGTGAGGGAATGGCATCTAAGGCCCCCAAATCAAAAAAATTTGCACCTATGGTCCAATATATTGTAAATTTATTCTGCAAGCCCAAAAGCCTTAGATGTAAATAAGTTTTCTAGTAAAAAGACTTATTTGCCCCTTGTTTGAAATGTACAAGTTTTTTCAAATATATGATGTGACAATGTCCATAAATTAAAGAACTATGTTTGTTTTCTTCTTAAAAAGATGTCATTAATTGATATATTTCCTCCGGACGAGAATATTTATTATTGTTAACTAATTTTACAGCTTATGAAAAATATTAGTTAAAACCTCATTTTTCTAAGAATATCCACATCTTTTCATTTATTCCCTTGAGTTTCTAGTAGCAACTACATAATTTTTAAACGTGGAGCATTTAAAGACAAGAAAATAAAAAAAAAAAGCAAGGGTATAAATGGAGAACAATATATAAAATTTACCCAAAATCCTATATTTTGAACCAAGGAGTGCCTCTATAAAACAACTTATATTACATGGTCCAGATGGAGTATAAGTTTTAGCACTATGGTATGAAACTGATTTTGAGATTGTAATTTTCTCATATTTTTACAGAGGGTCAAGCTTCAGTTGGTGATAATCATTTCTCTTAATATTACGGAGGAGGATTTGAAGTGATAATGCAATTAAGCCTTGCCATGTATAGGCCTTGTAAGTTTGCATTTGCCTCTGTTTAATGTAATCAAGTATCTGGAGATTTGCAATGTGTGATAATTGGCATTCAATATTTATAACATTCATTTTGGCATGAAGATACATTTTATTCATGTTGGAATAACGTTTCTAGGTGAAAATTGAAGGACACGTTTTTTATTATCAATGTATTTAATTTAAAGCAAAAGTTTCAATACGTTTTTATTAAACATGCTTGATTGTTTATTTCTTAATAGTCTTTTACATGCTATTGATTTTCGGAGTAGGCGGCGCCCATCATTTTTGGAGTTGATGACAGCTTCAACATTGTTCAACATTTCGTGTCCTCTGTCAAAGTGGCTTCTTGAAAGTATGATTAGTTATATGGCCCTTACAAATTACACGAGACAAGGAACGTATAACTCTATATACATTTAATATTTCTAAGAAGTAGAATGAATAAAAACATCACCAATTTATATGCAGAAGAGGATCCTCTGCCTCTGCTGTTGAAAAATGGTAGCATCAAGCTGCTTTTCTAACAAATTTAAATTGTATAGATCAAATTTAGATGATTATTAGGATATGTAAGCTGAAAGACAGCAACACAAAGAAAGAAACACGCCCATTGACCACAAATCATTTTGTACACGAAACACAAATATGTTGCTAAGCAGACCAACAATGACAACAATGACAAGCAGAGAGATCAATAGAGTAGAGTGTGACAAAGAAAAAAAGAAATAGGACAGAGTTTGAGACTGAGTAACAGAGGACGACAATATCCGATGTAGCTTAGCAATTTATAGAGTCAATATTGGCATGCAAATGTCAAAGTGTGAATTTGGAAAGCAAACTTATAAGATAAAGATCCAACGACTCAAGCATTTCCACAAGTTCCTTAAAACCGAGAAAGCCTCCAATTTGCTTTTCAAAAGTTACGGACATTGCTTATTAGGAGATGAAGAATAGATGGTGACGATGAACCTTTCATCATTACTGGCTCATGAAAAAGTTACAATTGAGTAATTAATGACTAACAAGTTATCCAAATTTGCTAGGAATAGGAACAACAATGACGAAGTGAAAAAAAAAAAAAAATACATCACCACATCTCACAAGACGAAGAATTGAAGAAAAACTCGATATATTATAATAAGATATCAAAGCTGAGCAAAACAACATGCCTAAAACCCTAGTCTTGGCAATGGAAAGCCCATAATTCCATAAGACATATATGGTTGGAGGTAATGATAATTATTCCCTCTTTTAAAAAATATAAGTAATTTTTTTGAGAGGTTGAATATTAAAAAATATAAAGCATTTTTAATATTTCAAGGTTTAATCATTGTTTTTTTTTTAAATTTCTCTCATTAAATAATTATTTTATATTTGTTTTAGAGTGCAACACCCTATTATATAGGAGTAAATATAAAAATATAATATTAATTTAAAGATAATTAACTATTTTATTAAGAGATGAGATTTGGTAAACAATGCTTTATATTTTTTTAACAGACCAAATAAAAGTTTGGAGTTCAAATCACCTATCAACCTAAAGTTTAAAGTTCAAATTGTATATTAACTCATTTATATTTGAAGGCTTGCCCAATATCACTGTGTTAGTTTCATTTTCATTCTAATTTGGCGTCCTTTAATTAAAGTTGTGGATTGCTCCGTCTTCTCCAAAATCACTCTTTAATTGCTGCTCTTAACAACTTTTTGAGTAAGGGAAACCAATTAAGGTACATTTATATGTCTTCTCAAACACCGCAGTTTCTCTCATTTAAGTTGACTAAAGATTTTTGTTCTAATTTTCTATATATTACCTTTAATTTTCTGGTGTAATGTATTTTCTTTTGGCACAACTTTGAAGTGTTGATGCTTACAATATGAATCTGTATTGCGTTTTGCAAGGACAAGTACGTTCAGATATTTTCAAAATGAAAATGTGTGTGTGTGTATATTTCGTTATAAATTAATAGATTTTATGAAAGGTAGTAACCACCACTAGGTACAAGAAAGCAATAATTTAAGAAAACTCCACATATTAAAATGATGGTATTCTTCATAAAATATTTTAAGTAATCATTCATGTTAAAATTAAAGCTATGTTGGTTCATGAAATAAAATAGAAAAATAAATTTTTAATTAAAGAGGTATGACACAAAATGGTCATCACATTAAAGCATCACTTCAAATATTAAATCAACCCACCTCGAAGATTGAAATAAGTGACAGTGAATATTAAATCAAATCGAAAATGTTAGTCACATTTTGACATTACTTTTAGAAATGATACTTTTTGTGATTTATAATATTTTATCCGTTCACAGATGTAAAATATTTTTCGAGGAGTTAGATGTTCAAAAAGATATTTTTAATCTTTTGAGATATAATTATTATTTTTTTAAGTGTTCTATTGATAGTAACTTTATATTTATTATAAGCTATTTAATAAAGGTGAATATAAAAAGTTATAATTAATTTAAAAGTAGGTAACTATTTTATTGAACTTATAGGATTACAGCCCATCCCCTAATTTGTCCCCTGTATTGGACTTCCTCTTATATTCTCCTCTGCTGGCAGTTCGTCATTTTGAGTTGCTTCCTCAAGTTGGCTCGTGACACATAACTTCTGTTTCAATTTTTTTTTTTTGACCATCAATCTATTTTCTTCAAAAACAAAAACATCCTACTTCTTGTGATTTCTTGTGTGACCTCATCTATTTGTTAGAATTTCATATTTATTTTGATCGTCAGTTTATTTTCCTATGCGTTCTGGTTTAGCGATGCTGGGAAATATTGATGTCGGGTCCTCAGGTTTAGGTCATTTCTTTTGGTCCACGTGGATCATACTTTTTATCCCACTCAAAACCACGTGTAATTTTATTGGTCAAAGCAGGTAATTTAACGATAATTTTCATAAAAAGTTGCAGGATATTTTTTCTTTTTAATCCTTAAAAAATTATAAAAAAACTCAATATCTTTTATTTTTGACTAATTAATTAAGCAAACCTTTTAAAAAATGTCTTATATTAAACTGGAGGGAGAAAAAAAAAGATAATTAATCTATATTGTTTGAAGCATGGTCGGTTACTAAATATAGACAACTTTTTTTAGCAAGGATCAAATCTTGATTTGTTATATCGTGTGGAAAGAGCCAATTCAACTAGACTTAACCCCTGTTTTGAACTGCTCAAGTCATTCTTTCATTATAATTTTATACTATATAGGTCAAATTTTATATCTAAACTGTTTAAGTCAAATTTGAACAATTTAAATTTATTTATTTATTTAATATTAGGGATAGTGAAATATCCAATCCCTTAACTTTGCTTCAATTATTGATTTGGTCCTTCAAGTTTAATTTTAATATATTTGGTCCTTTATGTTTTTTAAAATTATTAAAAATTAACTACTAGATTAATTTAGTCTTTTAATACTTTTTTTACTTAAATAATTACACTACTTTTCATTAATCTATATGGCTATCATTAATATTTCTTTGTTCATGTTTGTAAATTTTAACCATGTTATCTTCTCTTTAAATAATAAAGACTAAATCGATAATTGAGGCAAATTTAAGGGAAAATTGATAAAAATTAAAACTTGAGGGACCAAATCAACAATTAACTTGAGGGACTAAAAGTTTCATATTTCTTAATATTATAATAACAATTTGAAAAAATTAATCATTTGATTCCTATAATTTTAACTTAGTTGTAACTCATCATTACCTGAATTTTGATTCACAGTAACTTGGTCCTTATAATTGTGACTCGATTGTAACTCAATCTCTGAATTTTGACATAGTACAACCAAATCCCTGTAGTTTTAATTATTTAAAATATTGATCCCTACATTTTAACAAATAAAATTATAACATTAAAATTATTTTAGAAAATAATAAATAATTATTTTAGAACTTTGGACCAATTCACTGTACCCTTGAATGCTGAACTAGAAAGATAATGAATTATATTTCCAATGAACCATTGAAAACAATTAGATGTGGTAATTTAAATAAAGCTTAACGAGCTAACCTGAATAAGCCTAAAAAAAATTTAACGCTGAGTTTGGAAGTTTAGAAAATTGTCTTTACTCTGAGCTTATTTAAGTTGTTCAAATAAACTCAAGAAATATGAGCCAAGCCTAAATACCCAAATTTCTTTTTTATTATTAATAAAATAATATAAAAAGGATAAAATTGAAAATATTAATTTTTTAAAATAAAAATTGAAATTATATAAAAATATAAAAAATAATATTTAATAATTTGAGTATTTGGGTTAGCCTGAAAGCTCAAAGGGTTAGGGCCAAATTGGCCATATGGGTTTTCTTATATGTTAAGGATATTTTAAGCCCGATTTAAATAAGTTTTGCCTATATTAAATCTGGCCTACTCAAGTCACCTACTCAAAAAAAAAAAATACTTTGAATTTTCTAAAAAAAATTCAGAGATGTTGGCTGATATATATATGTATGTATGTATGCATATTGGGTGAAAAGGAAGTTTCATAAATGCGCGCGTGTGCTGAGTTACAACCAGAGCGAAAGGGGAAAGCAAAATTACATCAGAATTCTAGACGTGGAACAAATTCTAATGATATGATCAACAAATACCCCGATTTGAATCAAAATGCCATCAATAGTGATGGCTCCTCTAGAAAAAATGATGTTGGTCAATACTTTATTTCATTTTGGCCAAAAAAAAAAACCATTTCGTCTTTTTTTCTTTTTTCCTCATTTTCATGTGTACATTTATTACATTTGAGTTATTTGATTTTCTTTCCAGTTTTGCCAAACATCTTTTTTTTTTTTACGGAAAATTACTGTCAAATCTAAATGTTTATAATCTTTAGGGAAATTATAAAAATTAAAATTTTTAGAAATTTAAAATATAAATTTATAAGTTTTAAAATAATTTTAATTTTTATAAAAATATAGGAATTAATATTATAAATAGTTAAAACTATAAGAATTGAGTTGTATCAAGTAAGAGTTCGAAGACTAAGTTACAATCGAGTCAAATTTTAGGTACTGAGTTACCCTTGAATTAAAAATACAAGGACCAATGATTAAATTTCTCTAATAATTTTGTAATAATTATTTATTTTTCATTTATTATAATAATTACTTGTGGTTTTAAGGTTAAAAAAAAACATTTGCTGTCACGACACAGTTTTGGTGATGAGCACCGAAATCCATATTACTAGTTAGTGAAAAGTGATGAAAGAAGGTAAACGTAGGTGTTTAACGAGTCCCATTGTGCCCGATCCTTGCGTGGTAGCTTGGATGATCTTTTATAGATGGAGTTTCTTTCAATAGCCACGTCCAAGAGGAAGAGAATTGCTGAGAGCTCAGATTTTGGTCCTTTTGTCAAGTGGCTTAAGCATGATGATGTTCTTGAGCCTTCTTTAATTCCCGGTTCAGCCTCGTTGCCAAGTGGTGACCTGAGCACGAGGAGCTCATCACCCAAATGCACCATTTAAGTAAAGGGAAAAAATAATAATAATTTTGGCCATCCATTATATTGTAACCCTAGCAGTTCATTTACTTATTATTATTTTGAACTTATAACATGATGGCTTCTCGCTAAACCTTTACAGTCTTCATGTTCCCTTCTCCGCTTCTCTCAAAACCAATTCGGTGTTCGCTTAGCCACCATGAGTTTCTCAATATTTGGCTCGTCTCTCTTTCTCTGTTATCTACGGAGAGGCTTGGAGGTATTGGATTTGGTTGAACAAATTTGGTTAGACAATGCTTGGAGGTATCGAATTTGGTTGGACATCCAGTATTATTCCATGAGCCTCACTGGCGGCAGCCATACTTGGACGTTGCACGGAGGCATTGGATCCGGTATCACATGATATTTTAAGTTTCTTCCTCATCTTCCCCTCTACAATCTACATTCAAGGAATGGATCGGTACGTAGTGGGAGAAGATATTATAAGTTGTTAACTTAGTGTGTCTAAAATTAAGTTCAAATTACAAAATTGAAAGAGTTAGAGTTCTTGTAAGTGGGGCGTTTTTGTTTTCTAAAAATATGAAGGAAGAGGAACATATTTTTTTTGTCTGGATCTTTCAATTAGATGACATTGATTTTTTTTCCCCCTCACATTTTCTATAATTTATTGCCAAACTAGACAGCACCACCCATTTCTCCTTAACATTCAAAGTAGACTTCAACCACCCACTTTCATATACATATAGTACATAATAATTCACTCCATGCTTCTTCAACTTATCCACTTCAACATAATAAAACATTCACTTCTTGAAGTTGGTTAAAACGTGTGACCTATCTTTTATCAAGTTCCCAAGGTGTTTAATACCATTTTGCAATAAATGCCAAGTGCACAAACAATGTCTTATATTTGGAACGGTTCGGTACGTAGCATATCTTGATCTTGGATAGTGAACACAATTTGTGGTTTGTTTTCCACGTGAGAATCCGAGAAAGTTCCAATAGCCACTTGAAAAAACTCAATGGTCTCATTGTGCAAAAGTGTTGTGCTTCGAAAATGACTACACTTCCTCCAAAAAAGAGAGCAAGGGGTAGATAATTCTTGTTTGTACTACATGTAGTGTCTAATGATACAACCTCAACAAAATGTACATAGTCTATTAGCACATGAGAAATTGTCCAAAACATATTGCTGATTTGTTATTCGTTGTCCAATTAGTATTTGTGATAAAACGCAAGATGTTTGGTAACTTGTTTTTGAAAATATTCAAGTAGACACTTCCACCTTTCCAAACCTCATACATCTTTGCCTTTTGTACATTAAGTAGTTATTTGCATCTATCATAATATAAGCAAGATTTTCTTAACCACCTACATATGTACTCAATAAGTCAAAAGCATCCTTTGGTTCAAGCGTAGATTCTTTTGCAAGATCCACATTGCAAGCTAGAGCTTTTAATAAATTTCTTTGTAGTGATAAAAAGTACATTGTCTCTAGTGTAAGAAGGGGGTGATTATGTCCTTCATTAAACTTAGTAATTTTGAACATTTGATCAACACGAAATATAATCATTCTTACCACTATAAAAAATATAACTTTTGGCGGTAACTTGTAGCGACGATTAAAAAAGTCGCCACCGAAAGTTTACTTTTGCAGGCAATAATTAAATGTCACTACCAAAAGTCAGTGGACTTTTGGTGGCGACTTTAATTTATTACTACTAAAAGTTTACTTTTGATTGCGATATTTGTTGCCCCCAAAAGTATTTTTATAAAAAATAATTTATATAATCCACTTTTGGTGGGAACATTTGTGGCCACCAAAAGTATTTTTATAAAAAATAATTTAAAAATTAAAAATAATTTATATAATCTTCTTTTGATGGTGACATTTGTAAAATTATAATTTAAATTTTTTTAAAAAAATTTATGAATTTAAATTTGAAATTAAATAAAATTATTCAAATATATATATATGAAATTAAATTTCTTATTTTATGTGTAGAATTAGAAATAAATTATATATAGGATCATGAAACAAAAAAAATAATAGTCAAATGTGCTAAGTTTAATTATTAAATTATTTCTAATTTTATACTATTCATAATCATTTTTTAGACATATACAGCTCATATTTTTTTAAGAATTATGTTATTAAGCTATTATTTTAATATGATAAATTAAAATGTTGATGGGCTATTGCTTTCAATTATAATTAGATTAAGTTATATATAAATTATTACTCACAATCAAATACATAAATGGCATTGAGATGTTAAAGTTGTACAAATGTCATGAGATGCAAATGATATTGTAGACTACTTAACATATTGCACACTTGATTATTAGCTTGCCATATAGTGTTTATTTCTTCTACTGAGCTCTAATGGCTTTTGGACAAGGATTCCATGTAATTTCTCCTAGTATATTTAGGTTTCCATTGCTATAAAAAAGAAGTTACTAATAACATTTTTATAACTAATTATTACTGAGAATAATATGAATAACTATTCAAATCCACCTTGCTATGAGGTTGAGGATGATTAGATGTTAACTAGATTGATCACATATGAGATTCTTATAACTATCATATATTGTAAAAGTTATTAGTATTCATTTTTAAAATTATTCAAAATGACTATTAAAAAAATTTATGTGGTTAAAATTAATTTGTTATTAAAATAATTTTTTAAGTATTGAAAAATTATCAATAAAATAGATTTTTAATAAAAGAGGGGGAAACATTTAGCTATTTTAAGAGAAGATAAAAATTTAATCATTTAGTTTGTCAATTTTTGAGAAAAATATGGAGATGAAAAAAGTAAAAGATATTTAACATAAAACAATATAATACATATTTATAAATAAATTATATGCTTAATAATTTTCATTTAAAAAATAAAATATAATTTAAAAATTGATTACAATGTATATAAGAATATTATTTAATATTTAAAAATTGTTTATTTTAAGTTTATTTTCCTAACAAAAATAATATTTACTAGTGAAGAACAATATTTTATTAAAATTATAATTTAAATTTTCATATAAATCATTGTGTCATATTAATAATTGAAAATAAAATAAAATATATGTATATCTTTTTAATAATATATTATTTGATATATGTGTATGCAGTTTATAATATATATTTAATTTTACATATAATAATTGTAAATGTAGTTTAGTTTAACTAGCAAAGAAAGGAAGCTTAAGATTTGGAGGTAGGAGAGTTTAAGGGTTCAAACTTTGATTTTTTCATATTTTGCAACAAATATGTGACGTGACGTGTGGTGGTGACATGGTGCATGAGGTGGTTTGAGAAGGCATACACGTGGCAAGTGACATGGCGTGAGATAATGGCGTAGCAAATGAGGTGGCTTGAGGAGGCACACACATGATAGGTGACATGGCATGAAATGGTGGCATGGCACATAAGGTGGCTTGAGAAAGTGCACACGTGGCATGAGATGGCTAGGTGATATGGTATCATCTGTTGAACATGGCCTGTGACATGACACAAGATGGCAAGTGACATTGTATCATTTGTCACATATGACAGGTGACGTAGTATCATTTGATACACATGTGGTAGAGTGATGCAGCATAAAATAAATTATTATTTTTTAAAAAAAGTTTTGGTGGTGACAATATTTGTCGCTGCCAAAAACTATTAGCAACGACCTTTTAGTTGAGAAAAGTCATCTTTAAAAACTTTTAGTAATGACTTTTGAACTTTTTCCTGCAACAAAAAAAGTTTGTTTTTATGCTGTGTGCCTTACACTTGGTTCTTGTCTCAGGCTGATATTTAGAGGAGCTTGTTTGTCTTTTATCTTTTTTTTTTTGGAACACCTTCTTTACAACATACATATCTATATGTAATGAGAGAACCATCTTTTCTACTCTTTGCTCTATCATCTATACTTTCTAACTCCAAATCCAAATTTGTTCCCGTATTCATTCCAAAAGTTCCATGTTAGGTGAGAAAATTGTGCTTTCAAGCTTGAGGAAGATATATAGAGTTTCAAAATTTGTCAAATTTTATTAGTGTATCTCAAGGGATGTGGATTCAGGTGCAACTGAGTGATATCAGCATACAGAACCACCCCAAATCTCTTGATTTAAGTTTGGGATTGGCTCTTCAACATATGGGAACAATGTCGATAAGAATGGACGTTATATAACATGTTGATTAGAGTCTTCACAATGAGACCAAATAATATGTAGATTAGAATTATATGTCATTCTACTAGCTGCAATTGTATATATAAATTAAATAGGGAATTTGTAAGTTTCAAAAAGATGCAAGGACACGAAGAAAAAAACAACATATACCTGATGACTGTACACAGCTAGATTTTCTTTCAATTTGGGAGTACGATTAATGAAAATATTGAATATGTGTGTGAATTCATTCCATGTTACTTTAATTTTTTTTTTGACAGATATTCTTTTTTAAAATTTCCATTCATAATCATATCAAAATATTGACAAGTAAAGAGCTATTGTGCGCACGGTCATTCACAAAATATTTGGATAAAAAATTACTTTATATTAAACTAAACTAATTATATATTGATTTTTTATACCAATTATAAATTGAATTTTGTTTGCCATGTAATTAACCACACATTGATATAAACACATCTGGACATTTGTATAAAATTTTCTCGAGATTCTTGAATTTCTATTTCCAATATATTTAATTTTTTTCATTTTTTAAATCCAGCAAGTATAAATAAAACCTTTTAGTATGGAGTTTGATTGATGTGAATAAATTTGTTCTTTTTTGTTAAATGAAGTTGCAGCTCTTACAGGTTTCTACAAAAAATTCAAATTTTCAAACTGCAACAAATGTAGAAAAACAATTATCTGTAAGTAAAGAATTAGGGATGATCTCGACCTCAAGAGCAGGAAGATTGTCTTTGAAGGATTCGAGGAGCCTCATGCCTATATGGGAGGGTCCCACTTTGATCAGCTTCCAAAATCTGTTGTGGCTACAGTTGAATGGATGCAAGCAATTGAAGTGTATCTTCCCCAACACTGTCATCAGCAGAAGCCTACCATGTTTGGAGTTTTTATTCATAAAAGAATGTGAAGAGTTGGAGGAAATAATGTCATCAGAGCCTCTCTTTCCAAATGCTTCCTCTTCTTCCTTCTGCTTCCCACAACTTCAATATCTTAGAGTCAAGAGATGCAGAAAGTTGAAATGCCTCTTCCCCTCTCCACCCTCTACTCAACAGTTTCCACGATTGAAAATTCTGAGAACACAATAGTGCTGTCAAGTAGAGCAACTTTTTAAGTGTGAAGAAAAAATCATGAGGAAGGGCTCAACAACAACGTACTTCCAATGCTTGAAATTAAGCATTGCCCCATCTTCTCCAAAACCACACTCACTACTCTTCAGACGTCCATAAGCAGGTGTATATGCATATTTGACTTGAAATCATTTTTTTCTTG